AAAGAAAAAAATTTAGATGGCTAGGCTAAGATTAGGAATAATTGCATCGTAAGTTTAGGGTCGCTTTTGGTTTTATTATAGTTTTTAAATTTTTACTAATCACTATTTACGTCAAATTCTACTTTTTGCGAAAGTATTTACATCAAGAATTTACAAAAACAGACATTAATTTAGCTATTTATTCGTAATTCATAATAACGCGAATGGCTTCTGTTATGCGTGTTAAACAGCCAAAAGTGCGAACCGTCGGCTACATTAAGCTCACTGTAAACACCATAACCCGAGTATATAATGTAAAGCGTAAGGGAATTTAGCTTTAAAAGCGAGTTGTGAAAAAAAAACAATTAGACGGTGATATACTCACGTAACATATACTTCGCAGTATGAAATCATCAGATATTCTTAGTACAATTTCTAATAATCGCACCCGTCGCGCGTGGGGATAATATCCAATTATTGTATTTTCCTAAACTGCACAAATGACATTACCCTACTCATTTCTCGTAATCCTACATCCAAAATCGAGTGAGAAGCCTCGCTGTTATCAGGTAGTCGTCTCATCCCTAACGACTCTGAAATGTCGAAGTGGTACAGTCTTCCTAAAATTTACAAGTAAGGAGATCCTCTTCGCCCCAGTCAGCACTCTCAATTCGCCCACCTACAACCTCACCAAGTTTCGCGCTATTTACCAAAGGTCCCATTAAGGATAACGACAAGGACGTCGGATTAGTTACCCAGACCAACAAGTGTTTATCTTCTCCCTATTTTCAATTCCTGCCAAGGGTTCTACGCGCTTATTGGCGGTATCCAGAAGAATACGCCAAAATGAACTTTGAAGGCCCATGTTGTTGCTTATTCTTCCCAATAAAGTTTCCATTTTTTCAGGTAATTCGAGGTGCAATAGAGTTCGTTCGTTTAGTTTTCTAGTTACTTTTTGTAACGACGACGACGCTTCAAATACCATACCTATATGACACCATTTGTACCATACACCACAATTGTGGATATCCGAATTTATTTCTGCCATAATTGTTATTATCTCCTCTATTCTGATATCCCGTTTGTCCGTTATATCCTCTGAATGGATTCACGTGGTCTTGAAAAGCGAAAATTTGGCACCCTGATGTTTAATTACTTGATTGTAATTAGCGCTCTTTGTCTTCGTCTGTCAAATCAGGTCGCTTGAGGATTCTTGTGAATGCATCATAAGATTTGACCCCTTCTCTTTTCTTCGTAGCGTTTCGCCATTCTTGTCATGATCGTCGATTAATCCATTCCCATATCCCGACATTAAAAGTACGAATAAATTTGTAACAAATATAGCAAACGAGCTTCTGGGTCACTGAGAATTTAATCAGTCCTTTTTTGGGTGACGATAAACATAATACTGAAACCAGAATTGTAAAATTCGAATTGTACAGCTTAGTGCTGTTTATTATGTATCTTTACTAAAATTGAAAGGGGTAAACATATAAAGAATTACAAACAAGAAAAGTAGACTACTTGCATAAAGGGCCCAGACCCGACTTCTAAACTGATTCCTTTGGAGCTTAAAACACCTTTCACTGGCAGGATCCTTCGATTTTTTTTAAGCACTACTACAGTTTTGCGAATAATAACAGGTAAAATTACTGTACACAAAACGACCTGCGAACGTCACACGCTCTCTTAATAAATTTCACTGCCACCAACTCCCCATCATAGCATAAATGCTAAAGGGATGCCCACAAGAATTTTATTAAAGACGCACAACCCCGTACATATTAAACTGCGACCGATTTCCACGTGTTGTATTTTAACCGGCATTTTCCCAAAGGTGAAAAGAGCTCCTTTTTGTTGACGGGTTTAGCATCACTTTTCATAAATCGAATATTCCTGCGAGGAGACAAGTCACGTCGACGCCGTAAAATATTTCCATCTCCGCGGAAAATAGGGCAACGCGAAAATTGTTCAAAGGTCAATGGCGTGCGTCTGTTTCAAATAATAATTAGTTTCGCAGGCTTTATAATCTGTTAAATGCTAAGGCCGAATACGCACCTGTTTGAATTGGGATCGAACGATGCCCCTACCTGAAACAAAAAGAACGTTAATTGATACAAACTAACGCAAATTGGTCGAGCGGTCTAATTAGGAAGCGGTCTCACATACTGTTTCATGAAAGGACTAATTGAAAATTATTCATCTGGCCAAATTAGGCAAACTTTCTCTAACGGTAACGAATCCTATTTGTTTGTTCACAGACAAAGTCTAAGTAAAGCGTTGAAGTAAGCGTCCACGTCCAAGTAAGATGTAACATGAAATTAATCGACAATACCGTCTTCCAATATAAAACAAGTTTACTTCAATCTATCAATATCATTACGTGTAGAGATTTAATTTAAAACTTTATTGGATAAGGAACAAGAGAGAACTTTGAAACACTGACAGTGTAATTAATTGGTCTTGTATTTATGGAACCGTCTCTAATTATATATATGACAAATATGACGAGCCTAGCAAAAGATTTAGTATTTCAGGAATTCCGGCCTTTTAAAAATAAAGATGATTGGATATACTGATAGCGTTTGTGGCAAAACGGTAGCTAGATATTCAAATTTGGGTCACTGATTGGAAAAATATGACACACGTGATATTAAGATCGGATTATGGGATCCTTGTTAAAAACTTCTTTTTTCGTTGATGTTGCACTCTATTTCGCGTACCGATTGATACATGCGCCAAGTCACTTGCGTGCTACCGTGCCCATCGGTTTATTTTTACATTCTGTATATGCTGGGTTTTCGTTTTATATCCGTCAATATCGACTGAACGAAGTCGCGGGGGAAATGTAGATGTTATATAGTTAAATATGAACAAATAAAATAAACATCTCTCTAAAAGGGTATTACGTCCACCAACAATAGCAGCTTGTAATGAAGAGATTAGAATAGTGAGCGAAATATTTAAGAAGTCCATACAAGAAAGAAAATCTACGCCACCAAATCGAGACTCCAAGCATACTAGTAGGGGAGCTAGCACGAAATCCACTGAACGAGAATGATCAAAATTTTAACCGATGGAGTTCCATTTTGTCCTATCAGAAAATGCTAAAATCGATCGTCTGCCGCCTCAGGTCATATTACTTAGGCGCTGCGGGTACTTCTTGAGGTACCAATTCTGAAAGGTTGTTTTTCGAGAAAATAAGTTATACACCAAATGAAAACGTTGATAATAGCTCTTAAAAAAATATTTAAAAAAATCGCGCACATTTGATAACTCCGTAAAAAAACAATTCTTGGTCGGATTTTCACGAACTTTCGACGGATATAACTAGGTTACCGTTGGATGAATGAAGCTGATTTTTTTACAGACTAATAATAGGTACAGCCAATGACTATGAGAGTGTTTCTTTTTTTAATTTTTTCTTATTCTTATAATGTTAAGATAATAAGATAATCTTATAATTAGAGAAAAAATTTAAAAACGAAACACCGTTAAGTCATTAGTAGTACCTATCATCAGTCTGTAAAAAAATCAGCTTCATTCGTCCAACCGTAACCTAGTTATATCCGTAGAAAGTTCGTGAGAAACCGACTAAAAATTGTTTTTTACGGAGTTATCAAATGCGCGCGATTTTTTTAAATATTTTTTTAAGAGCTATTATCAACGTTTTCATTTGGTGTATAACTTATTTGTTCGAAAAACAACCTTTCAGACTTGGTACCGCAAGAAGTACCCGCAGTGCCTTAAGTCATATGACCTGAGGCGGCAGACGATCGATTTTAGCATACTCTGATAGGGTAAAATGGAACTCCATCGGTTAAAGTTTTGATCATTCTCGTTCAGTGGATTTCGTGCTAGCTCCCCTACTATACCAAAAAATTTCGGAAATGTCAAGGGAGACTTTTCAAACTTCCACTTGGGCAGATAGAAAAACTTGGGGATTTCATTCTACAGGGTGTAGCACCGGTTTACACACTATAGGGATTTCAATAACCGGCAGGGTCGTGCAGTTTACGGAAATATCAACGTGATAGGAGGCCCCACCGTTTCACAACACATTCCAAGGAACAAACTATTTTCCACAACTGACAGATATTTAAGAACATTTGGTATTCAGTGGTTGGCATGCTCGTCTAAATCATCCAGGCTGATCATATACGCGAATGTTCAATTCAAAGTTCTGCCTGGATGATTTAGACGTTAATACTTATCTCAACGGTTTAGTAAAATGTGGACTAATTTCACTTATTGTTATAACATTATGTTACAGTTATTAACGATACGGGTAATTGAAATCATTAGGTATTGAAAATTCAGTGTAGGTACTTAGAGAAATCCACATTTAATACAAATGAGGTTTTATAACCTAACAAAATTACAAAACTAATCTTTGTCACTAAATGTACAATTATTATAAACTTTTAGAATAATTGTGGAATTATTGCCTGGTAGCAAATTATGAACAGTCTCTTCTGCTAACTGTCGAAGCTCTGGAGGAGTGGAAGGAAGAATTTCTTCGCACATTATTCACTTTTTATTGAAAAAACTAAAATATACTGCACAAATTCGTATTTGACGCGCTTGTTAAATTGAATTTTTTCAAAATGTAGCGTAGCCAACTTAATTTCTTTATATTGAAAAATTGTTGGTGTTGCCAACTTAATTTCTTTATTGAAATATTTATTACAGAAAATCGGTGTTATTCTGGTGCATCTTGAAATAGTTACGATATTGAAAAGTAAACAAGAATTGAAAAGTTTCCCAATTTGATCTCGGTTTCGTATTCTTGTGACACATTAGTCATTGTAAAAGTTTACAATATTGAGAACTTAATATTGAAATCTTAGCAAGTACGGATTATCCTTGCTAGCCATTTTTCAAGTTAATTTAAAGGTTAGGGTTCGTTTCCAATATGAATGATCCTGAATTTATTTGATTAATAGATGTATTGCAACATGTGGAACAAATGTAATAGTTGTATTAATTTATTTATTTTGAATCATAATAGTTGTATTAATTTATTTTGAATCATTAAAATTATTCAATTTGAAGCAATGAACAACGTTTATATAGGTGTCCTTATGAATAGGGAGTATCTGTTCTATGGGAACATCCAGTGAGGCTACCGCTCCATCTACATCTTGTATTACTTCGTCAACCTGAAAGTAAATGTTAACAACGTGCTTTACAAAATACCTGAATTATGATATACATATTGTATTTCCACGTTTTCAACTGCATGAATCGCTTCGTGCACTTCATTTACCCCTATTTCAGGTACTGTAGAAATCCCATGCACTACCACTGTGCCGGTTGCCCTTAATAACCCTATTTCGAGAGCATTTAGTGCTTTATTCTCCCGTGCTTTCTTGCGAGTTTGCGATTTCCACGCAGTGAACACCTGTAGTCAGAAAATATAATTAACAATTGTATATTAAAGTAGGTAAAATACCTTCTTCCATCCTTCAACTTCTCTAGTGGGTCCATCTCCACATGCATTTAGCTCCTCTGCTAGTTGCAGCCACAAAGAATGAAGATCCTCTGGGCCCAAGTTAGGAGAAAGTTCTTAACAAACAATTTTTTTCTAAGTACTCTACATAAATAGTATATTGCGATTTCGATGTCCTTGCTTTTTTTAAAAACATTGTCAACTACACGTAACACCACGTCTTAAATCAACTTGTATTTATACCAAACAGCTGATTAATTGTACTTACGCACGCGCACATTATTCACATTTGTGGGTTGGCTACACTGTGTTACAACTTCATGGTTGTTAACTTTTCAATCTTGTAAAACGTAAACATACGATTACAAGGTGACCACGAGAATACAAATAATTTTCAATATTGTAAAAGTCACTTGAAAAGTTTCTTGAAAAGGTTTCAATATTGAAAAGTTTTCAAGATACACGAGAATAGGACTGAATGTCAGAATTGTTAATTTTTTTAAAACAATTAAAATGCTCAACAGAGAAAATAGTATAAAGCATATGTTGCAGAAGGCCTTTCTAGCACTCGTTCATTCGAACCTTCGCCGCTACGCGGCTTAGGTTCGAAACTTGAACTCGTGCTAGAATATAGCGCCTTCTGCAACTTATGCTTTAATATACTATTAACATATCGATAACGAGGTAAAGTCGCCCGAGTTCAAATAAATAAGAATGCAATAAATAATAGAAACAACAAATAAATAAAATTATTAATAACAGCCTCCGATTAAGTCGAGATTACATATGTTAGACGCGCCCTTAAAAAACTGATATTTGACACCGCCCCGTATTTTTAATAAATGTGAGAAGGGCGTAACTCATTAATTTGTTTCCAGGAAGATGAATCTCGAAATGGCATCGGTTAATGTAATGGTTGGAAGTGGAGATCATGGTGACCATACATACACTACACAATCAACTATCATCATACCTACTGCAATACAAACAACTCCAGAACCCGTGGAGGTTTCGCAAATGCATATCTATTATGTATGTATTGCGCTTTGTGTGGCGATACTGTTAAAAAGAAACAAAACTAGGGTAGCATACAGTGAGTCAATATAGAACAGTGGTGACAATCGGGAATCTCGTTTTTGATTGGTCGTTGGTTCTGGTCGTCATATTAGGGCTAAAATGCTATACTTTGGTATTAGGATTTTACACTTTTTTTTTGTATTGTTGCGAAATTCTGTGAATATGTGGACATTCGGTTCATAAACATAGTTTGATGTGTTTAAAGTCAATAGAAATTACCTAATTACGGAAAGAGGATTATGCTGCTCAATTGTGATCATAAATACCTACGCTTGAATTGGTTTAAATTTTAACATTGATGGTTGCTGAATCACAACGAATATTGCTTTTTTTGTACTCCGTGGACTAGATGCACGTGTCTTGTCTTCCATTTAAAGTACTAATGTGACACTTTTTATCCTGAAAGGACAAAAAGTGACAGAACTGTGTATTGAATGATTTATTTGTTAAATTTTGAGATGAAAATATCACAATCAGTACGTACAATACAATACAAATGAATGTATATGGATTAGATACTTCTTAATTGATGAACTTGTTGCCAATGGGGACCTCAAAGGAAAAAAAGCAAGAAAAATACCTAGAACAGCAAAAAATACAAATGGAAGTTTTCTACCTCGGTCAAGTAACTTGACTATATTTTTATTTTAATGGAAGACAATAAAAGCGCTCACGTTATGGTCGATTTAAAATTCCATTAGAAATAAATACCTATCATTTGGAAACAGCTTGGTAAGACTCAGACTACACCACGAAGTGAAACAATGACACACATTCAGCACGAAAGAAGTGTTTTGCAAATAAAATAATGGCTTGAAGGTTGTAATTAATTCAAAAAGCTCAGGTGCCGCCACTATTTTAAAGTCCCTTCCCTTTACACTAGTTTCCAGCCCCAATCTGCCGCAATTAATTTGGTTTTAAATCCCACGGGAACTGATGGACATACTTCACAACAGTGTTTCGCATCGTCCTGCGAACGTTGAAGGGCTTAATCGAAATGCCGTCCCAAAACTTCAGAGGGTAGTTATATTGACTGAACCCGAGGAAATTCGTCAATATTTAACTTTTTCGCTCGCATTTCTGTGCAATTAATTAAATATTTACATACAATATTGACCAGACACCGCCCACCATTTTTGTTTGGGTTACGCAAGAAGCGAAAATATTAATTTGCGAAATTCATACTCGTATACCTATGGGAGCAGCCTACTCGGATTCGGATGTTCATCTCAAAAAATTACCGCGTCCAATTGAAAATTTGATCATTTTAGACCGTTCACAGTGAATAACTGCTGTTCATAACAATTATTTTAGCAATATATGCACAGTAAGCTTGTCGCTCGAGGCTGTTGGCGTCAAAATAACATTTCATCATGATGTAGGCGCACCCTCGTGTATTATTAAGACATTTCTTTGCCTTACATCGTGTTTATCTACAATAACGCGACGTCACTTTTTACTGCGGAAGCCTTATCAGAATTTACACTTTTCAGCTTAGCGTTGAATTTTCGGCTCACTGATGTCTAAGGGTTGCGTTCACTGCTCTGATGCGAATGAGATTAGCTCCTGATAAGTGATAATTACATTACTTAAATAACATTCACTTACTTAAGTGATTGAAAAAGCATCATGTATGTGTTACGTATAATTGTAGTACAGATCTGGGCCGTGCGTAATTGGTTTGCGAATCAATTTCAGACCTACCTACCGAAACAGTGCAACATATAGCGAACAATGTATACAAAACTTGTTTGAAATTGATTCACAAATTAATGACACAGGGGCACAGATCCCTGACTACAATTATATATAAAAATGGTATTATCCTCGCCATTAGAGATTGCCGGTACGTCATAGTTCACAATCGTATGGTTTAATATGAAAAATATGAGTCAAATTACTTCCGTAATAATGCCAACTTGATTAGAAAATATACTCCGAGATGGCGACAGCTGTCATTTATTGGGTGTTTATTTGAAGGTGCAAAACTGTCAAATCGCAGAAAGTATCGTTAGTCGATTTTGGTTTTAATAAAATACAACGTAATAAAGACGGTGAGAAAACAAAATCCTTGTAATCTAACAGGTCATTAATGCGTTATTTTTACAGGCCATATCGTAAGATAAACCCATTGTTGTAAGCTGCCTCATTACAATTTTTCCAAAAATGTGAACATTTAGTAATTACGCTACGCCAGAATTATTACAATGGTCGGGTCTTGCATTCATAAGTGAGTTTGCCGATAAAGAATTATAAATTCACAATTAGAGTATTCAATTTATAGGTTATACGATTTTCATACACCCAGCTGCACATTGCAAGACTACCACTTTTCAAAGTTACTCACTGTTACTTATGATGGCTTACAATAAGGATAAATTCAAAATGATACACTAAATGGATATTAATTATGTTCAAAATATATTATAATATACGACTGTCACTATCACTCTACTTCTATTTCATATTTATACTTTTTTTACATTTTTAGCACAATGTTAGATTACTAGGAATCAGAAATGAGAAATAAGCAGCCTCTCAACTGGATCCTGATGTTGATCCTCCTTCTACCCTACGCAGTATAGAACGTGTGTAGAAATGTTTTAACGAAACAGGTCAGATTTGGCTCTCTTGCGGGGCCGTTTCTTACCCGGGCTTTCCAAAACAGGGTTAGATGCCGCTCTTGTCTTGATGCTTCGCACCGTCCTCTCAGATATACCCAAAGCGTTGGCCACTCGCTATAATTGTGTGTTTGTACTAAATGAAAATATAAGTATATATAATCACACTTACTTCTTGAACAGCAGATACGGGTATCAATGGACCACCGTTTTCTTTCTCCTTCTCAAAATGTTGCACTAAGCACAAGCTGTTGTGCTTCTATATGCAAAGTTTTACCCTTTGCAGACATGGGAATTCGTAGAGAGAAATTAAAGTGATTAATACACGTAAGTGACGGATTAGTTCTCAAAAGAACCGATTGAAAAGTGCTTAACCGATGATTTAAAAGTGCGTGACAGGTAATAGCTATTTGTGTAGTAAGAGCGCAAAATGATATATTGTCGATTGAAAGAGACAGTTGACGCGCGACGAAGGAACGCGGCAATCTCTTGAAATCGACAATCAATTTGCGCTCGAATTTCACACAAGGTTTTTTCTACAATCGAGCAGTTCACATATTTCCAAAAATTTAAATTTTTCACTCAAATCATTTTAATCTTATGCCCAAATGAAAGATGTCATTTACTCGTTGTCATTGGATACTCTGAGCAATGCATATTTGATTTATAGTTAATAATTGGGAGAGCGAGCGTTTTTTCTATTTTGTCGCTTATAAGCGACAAAGTGACATTCCTCGAAAAAGATGACGTTTGCGCTGTCAAATACGAGCGCAAATGCCTACTTTGGATATCGATTGTAGAAAAACAATTAAAAATCACAACTGTCAAACAAATACCTGTACGGAAGAACTATTTTAGTCAAATGAGAGTTCAAATTCATACGGTTTACAAAACGCATTGGTTATTCGTTTTTGTTTTTTCTCTTTCTACCACATTATCTTGTGATAACCCACCCTGATGGTTAGGCAACACACATTTACATCCGAAACAAAAATATAATATGCTCTGTATATAACCAACGACCGTTTTGCGCAGATGCCGAATACTAGGGGATTTTCGTAAGGAAGCTAGGAGAGAATAGAGAGAAGATGGGGACGAGGTCGACGGAAGACACACGCTTTCCCGGTTTTTTTATTATTCTTGATTATTTTTGGTGATGGTGTTTTGAAGATGTATTTACAGGTAGTAACCATTTTATTCTTTCTTGTACTACATATTTAATCATTGAATTTCTTGCCACAATGTGATATTTACATTTTGCTGATTTTGCATAAACTACGATATCTGAATCATGGCGTACTCCATGCCTTTGTTTCGTGTACCGTTAGATGAATCCTGTTTGTAATACTGTACAGATGATTATGCCATTATTTTGTTTAATTAAGTATTTACTTCTGTTATTCATGAGGAGTTGATTATCGGTGTGATGTTGCTCTGTTCGATTGACCCGTAACAATTCCGTGAGGGAAGCACCTAATACAGTTTGATTGTTCGCTGTATCTGTTACTTTCTGTTTCGTGGCTCGCTACAGGTCTTGTGCGTTAGCTATACGAAGGGGGGCTCTTTTATTTGATGTTTCGAT